CTCTAGAATTTCAGGGGTAGTCCAGAATCAGATGGTACCAAATTTATATAAGGCATGTAAATTAAACCTTTATCCTGACCCGATTTCTCAAAACCTCAATTGCACTAATAATGTTCTTTCGCGGCTCTTCAACGATTAGTCTTTTACCATTACACAATCCAGATATTTGGTTAATGTTCTTCAAACCCATAATCGATACCCCTTTTTAAAAACTATTTTGTGGTTGAGAATCCCCGAACATTTGATTTTATTAAAAAAACTCTATTGTTATCCAAACATCTTCAACATCTACATCTGAATCTGCTTGGCATGAAAAATCAAAATTTAAGTACTCCTTTTCACCTCCTACAATAAGGATATGACATATTCATTTACCAATCAACAAACTCAAGCGTGGGTGCTAATTGTGCACAGTCCTCAACAAAAGAATAACGTTTCATGTTCTCTAATAGGTTTGAATAAGTGAAGTCCACTATACTCTTGAGGGGATAGCTTGGGTCAAGAATCAAGAATTCGAGTGGTATTTCAATGTCAGCAATTCCACCGATGTTTTGTCCAAGTTTTCCATCATCGAATTTGATTATCCAATTAGAAAAAGTTTGTGTGTCCCTATTTGTGCAGGAGGGTGTAGATAAATACAATTTCATATTGTTGGTCAACGTATAAACTTTACAATACAACCATATTTGTTAGGAATTGGTGGTAGCACCTATAATTTCTTCTCTCAAAGCTATGAGTAAAACTGAAAATAAAATTACCTCCGAGTACAACTTTTTTTCCTCCGAATGGTTAATTTATAAAGTTATTATTAGAAAACCTCATTTCTATTGGAATGCATGAGTTCAACCCACTACTATAAAACGACCAAATAAATCGCCCTATTTGCATCGCTAAGAGGAACAAACAATTTAAAAGGAAAAAAAATCGCGTAGCGCTTTACATTTGCATCGGTTATCCCTAATAACCGATGCAAAAGAGTATTTGCATCGGTTATTAGGGATAACCGATGCAAAAGCTGAAAACCTTTTGAATCGGTTATCCCTAATAATCGATGCATATACTCTTTTGCATTGGTTATTAGAGATAACTGATTCAAAAGAGGCTGTTATAGTCAGCGTCCAGTTTCTTATCCTTAAGCGATCTTGAAAAAAACATCCTCAAACCCTTCGCTGTACTTCCCGATGCTGTCATCGTGCCTTCATCGTTGGCTCGCAGTCGCTCCAAGCTTCACCGCACCCGGCTCGCCGTCGCCGTACCTCCTCGCTCTTGCATTCGCCTCAAACCTCCAAATCATGCATTGTTGCCGTCAGGTCGTTGCCATCCCCCTAGCATTGTTGATAATTGACAAACATAATTTATTCAAGTCAAGATCAAAATGCTACTACGACAAACACGAAGACTTGAAGTGCAAATTTCTTGAAGTATTCAAGAAGGTTCACAAGATTTTATTGGAGTCCAAGACGCATTCGGAGCATCTAACAGAGGACTTGGAGGAGTAGAAAATTTCTGAAGACCTTTTTTTTTTATTTGAGTCTTAGGAATATTTGTAAGGATGACAAAAATTATCTTCTCTCCAAAATTATTTTTATGAGAGTTAATATAAAAATTATATTGTTTTTGGAGTCGGTTGAAAATTCTTTTTAACTATTCAAAATACTTTTATTGAGTCAGTTTCAAAAGGTGTGTCAAACATTCATCAAAATATTTATTTTGATATTAGAAAATATTTTTGAAAAGCAAAAATATTTTATTCAAATATTTTCGTGTTCATAATTTGACACACAAAATATTTTTGGGACTCATTTACAACACCAAAAATACACTCTCATAATTCAAATTTGAATTTGAATTTTATTTGATGATTGTGGAGCCCATTAGTCTGATTTTAGTGCCCAAAACAAGTGCTAAATTCCAAATAAGCACTTCACCCGCACACATGATTGTGTCCTTCATGTTTGGTCATTATTGCTTGAAAAATCTATTTTTAAACTTTAGCAAAAATCGTTTATCATTTCTTCTGCTGAAGGAATTTTGCACAGAAGCAAAAAATCGATTATTGTACTCTAAAAATCGATTTTTTGTGTTAAAAATTCAGCAAACTCTTTTTTCTAAGCTCCAACACACATATTCCTTCAACCCCTTTATAAACTTCATTCCTTGGTCATTTTTAACGTGAACAAGCACTCCTAAACTCTAAACACTAGAATTTATTTTAAAAGCATTAGTGTATGTATCAAGGGTGGTTTATGATTTCAAATAGGAGCATGCTACATGTACCACATATTTGTACCCCACTTTTTACCTAAAGCGTTACCCTGACAATAAATGTAGGTACAACACTGCCATAAGGAAAATGCTTGGTTCACAGTACAAACAAAATGGCGGTCACAAACTTCACAAACTTACTAATTGTGAACTTCAATAAATAAAATTAAATAGTCTAAAATAATTTTAAAATGAAAATTTAAACCATAAATAGTAAGTTTGTGAAGTTTGTGAGTATTCTGTTTGTGAATGTAGCATTGCTCCGGGCATAATATCAGGTTTGCACCTACATTTAATGTCAGGGTAATGCTTTGACATACAAAGTGGGGTATAAATATGGGGTTCGTGTATCATTTTTCTTTCAAATAATTTCAAATTTTGCTTGACCAAGTATCTCCTACCCCTAGCTTAATAATTAACAAAGGAAATAGTAGGGAGTAATTCTTAAAAAATAAAGGGGTATAGAAGCAGTACTTGGGGTATGATACTGCCGAGTCCCATGCCTTCAAAAAACTGGTGAAAACCGAGGGCAACCAACTAACACTTTATTGCAATGAGATTCCAATGATCACTAGTGGACCATTATTCCCAGTCCCAAAAAATACATTTAGACACAAATTAAATCAACTTTAATAATTCATCAAAAAGAATTAAATCAACTTTATAATAATTATTGGATTAAATTGCAAAGGACATTGTTGTCGTATGATTTTGTATATCAGATTTTGACTTCTCATAAAAAGAAAGTGTCTATATTTTTTCAATTAAAAAAGTTAATAATTAGGGAGAAAGACCAAAGCAGAACTAAAACATTGAAAATATATATATACCAAAATAGTGCTTCCATGCTTTTATTCACGAAATAAGACTTACATTACCAAACATGGTCATATACATTAACAAAAAAGTATAGTAATGTGCACATGTACACTGTCACATTACCACAGTGCTAAATCATATTTCGGAAAAAAAACATGAAAGTCTGATTTTAGTACTTTTCTCTATGTTTTAGTTCTATTTAGGGTGATTTCTAAAATAATTGCTCAAGCTATGACACGGTTTCGAATAAGCTGGTCAGTTTCGAATACATTGGTATATATATACATGGCCGTGAGTGTGGATGTGGGCAGCCGCTCGCTAACTCTACCCCACCGTACCCGCTGTCTCAACTGTGATCCTCTCTCTGTCTCCGTCATTGGATCTTCTCCTCCCAAAATAGGAAGTGGCATAAGATTCTTCCGAAAGAGATCGTGTTGAGAAAAGCATAATGATAAACAAAGATAACGGAAACTCGCTCCAAGGTTTATCCCGAGGCACGGGGACATAAACTTGTTTTGAGCATCCGGGAGGATATGTACAAAGCGTGTCGCGAGAACAGCACCGCCGGATAATGCCTTGCCTCCTTCAAAGAGAGGCTCCCATCTAGACGCATAAGAAAATACCTCCTCCCCGATTTATTAGGGACGAGGGAGACACCGACGCCCTCACCAACAAATATTGAAATCGTTCCGATTATCTTGTATATAAGTTGCCGTTTGGGGCTAGGCGAGGCTTCCTTTTGGGAGTCAGTGTCGTCGGTGCAACGATACATAACAACATTTGGAAAAATGATGAGGAAAAAAATAATTTTTTCAAGAGTGAAACTCTTTGAAGTCGACATATATAATTTGATTGGATTTTTTTTTTTAATTTTTTTTGGAGCTCTTGGGATAAGGAAGCTAACAGGAGAGATTGAATGATGTTGGTGAATCTAGGTTGATCTCTACTTATAAGGATGGCTCCGTCCCAAAATCTTTCCATCATCTTTCCATGCTAAGACGTCCTTTGCATGTCTCCCTAAAAATTTGCTCAATTCAGAACGTGTGTGGCCTAACTAATAATAATAATAATAATAATAATAATAATAATAATAATAACAACAACAACAACAACAACAACAATAATAATAATAATAATAATAATAATAATAAGGGTAAAATGCTTACATAGTCCATATTTTTTCTGAAAGTGCTTCTCAAGTACCTGAACTATTTTAAGTGCTTACTAAAATCCTATTTATTTCTTAAAGTGCTTGATAGGTCTCTAAATTATTTTATTGTTATTATTATTGGTGCCTAATTTGTAAACTATTTGGGCACTAGTGCTCTTTTTTTTATTATTATTTTATTTTTCATTTTTTAACTCTTTTTTATCTCTTTTTTCGTAGAAAAGTTTTTTAAATTTCTTTTCTTTAATTTTAATTTGTATATTGTTTTTAAAAATTTAAAATTATTTGTGTTTGAAATAAAAATAAAAAATTAACATATACTAGCTCCATCTATATCAAATTAAACATTTTCACTTTTTGTTTTCTAGAATTTTTTTTGTAAGTTCAAAAAATATATCCAGAATAAAAAAAATATATGAAAAACATGAACTTAAAAAATTGAAAAATGCAAAAAAATTCATACAAAAAGGAATTTTCAAAATGCATAAAAAAACCCCTAGAATTGGGATGTCCAAAAAGGATTCATTTTTTTTATATTTTATTTTACAATGGCTAAAATATAGGTAAGACTCAACCGGAGGCTAACACTACAAAAAATATGACATTTTGTGGCTAACTTTTAGTAGCAAAGTTAATATTTGCCACAATATATAAATAATCTATAAATATTTGTGGCAATTTAAAATTTGCCACAAAATAGTTTACTTATTGTAGCAATTTTATAAATATGCCACTATATCTAAATTAGTGTGGAGGGAAAATATTAAGGGAATTAATTTAAACAAATAAGGAAGTTATTTCCCTAATCCCGCCTAACCCAAATAGCTAAATATTGAGCAGTCGCTCTCAATCCATCCCTAATTTCGGTCTGCGCGCTGTTACTTTGTTTCTATCGACTCCCAAAGCTATCTTCAGAAGAGAGAGAGACGACCTCCAGAAGCTCGTCGATTGTGATATATGGAGTATATTTCAATCACTACACACCAAAGCAATCGTCTATATTTTGAATCTGGACACGCTTATTTCTTCGATTCGGGAACGGCGACACACCCAAAGTCTGGAGTTAGGTATTTATTCTTAAACATATTCAGGTTTTGCTTATGTTTTCAGAATCCTATAAATTCTTGCTGTTTAAGAAACTTGAATCCATATTATTATAGATGTTCCCTTGTCATAGATGAATCTTAAGTTTAAATTTCAATTATTCAAGAATGTTTTTTGTTCTATAAGAGTGAATATCCTAGATGGATTTTGAGTTTTAAATGAGTATCTCTCCTTGTTCTTCCTCTAATTGTTTTTTCATATTCTTAGTCTTATTGAATTTTGGTTTATAAATTCCTGAGTTTAAGAAATTTTATTTTGTTCTATAAGAGTGAATATCCTAGAGGTAATTTGATTTTTGAATCAGTATTCCTCCCTCTTGTTCTTCCTCTACATGTTTTTTCATAGTCATAATCTTAGTCCATGGTTAATTATGAACGATTCTAGATTTATTAACACTTGGCCTCATGATTCAACTTCCTTCAATTATGCTTATTCATGAATCTGAAACTGTTAGTTTAATACTATTACATCTGGAATAACCCTAAGTGTTGTCCTTACTGATGTTGAATATTGGCTTAACTTGTATTGTTTCCTCTTGGCCATAGTTGTGAATGGCGAGCGCTTTTGGCGCTTATGGTGCTCTAAGCGTTGTGGTGACCAAAATCTACCTGGGACTGCTCTGGCATGGCTTTTTACGGGAGGTGCACTATAGGCGGTCACCATACACGCCATGGTTTATGGCGAGCACTATCCACGCCTTGTGACATGTGAAATAAATAATAAAAAAACTGACCTTGACCTAATTTTCGTTTGATACATCCGATCTAAATGGTGCAGCTCCCCAAGATTGCAACTGCTCCAGAGTCATTGCAGCGTCGTAGAGTCTCCGATTCTTCTGGATTGATCTTCACAGCTTCACTCCATCGCAATTCGCAGGGTCGAGAGACTCCTCAGCCCAGCGCGAGTCGAAGTCAAACCAGGTGACACCCTCTTCTCTCTTTTGCTTGAGGCCCAACTCCATACTTAGCCCAGCGCTAGTCGAATTACTTATCCTTAGCCTAGACTGATGTACGTAGTCAAACCAGGTTTTGCATAGGATCCAGGGTTAAAGGTCCCCAATTGGCCTTAAGATGAGGCCTGAATTCTCTTACAACACTGTCCAAAATTTGATCCCATGTTAGTGATTGACTCTTTAGTGTCATAAGAGCTCCCGCTTTTTCAGACTTGTCAACATCCTCCAGGTTTTCTACTTGCTGGTTTTTGAACCTAGAACATCTCTGAACCTAGAATTATATCTTCCACAAAATCCTTGACCATCTCTGAATCTAGAACTCAGAGCAACCAAAAAATCCTCCAAATTGATGTTAGCTCTACCCATCGCATAACTATCAAACCATAATTTGGCTTTTCCAATCATATTCACAGAAGCTTAATGTACTTTTTTCTCGTGAGACTAGAGCAAAGCGAACCTGCCCGTAAGTGTTCTTGAGGTAAAAAGCTACGATCTTATTTCCCCTCTTGGTGTCCAGGAAGAGCACATCTAGACAAGAGTCCTCACAAATGCATAGGAAAACTTCTCCTCTTGGTGTCGAGGTACTGAACTATGGAGTTGTCCATAATGGAAACTTATGATGTGATAGTCAGGCAATATACCCCAGTGGTAGGATCTTTGTGCCATTCATGAGTTTGTCTCCCAAAAAAAATTGGTCAATGAAACACAAGTTTGCTGCTTGTTTCTTATGCAGGATTTAGGAGCCGTGTCAGATACATTGATGTTTTAGATCCATCAATCACGTGCTATTATGTTTTTGAGATTCTAGATGCAGGACGAGATTGGCCTTTGTTTATGGTAAATTAGTCTCTCATTTTAGACTGGAATGCTCGGTGCCAATGCAAGTTCACATTTTGTTCATTTCATATGTGTGTGTGTGTGTGAATTTCGGCAAGTTGAAATGCTTATACATTAGTGAGGTAGAAGGATTAATATACGAATTTCCACTAATTTTTTTGCAACATGGGTTATACTGCGACTCTTGTCACTTGTCAGGCATTCAAAAAATAGACTGCCCATACTCTTTTAGATTACATACTCCATGTATTTAAATTATTTTTTATGAAGTCCAGCCTTTAAATTTTTGTATTTGTTCAATCTTCATTAAAAGCAAATGAAAGAATGAGATGGTTTAGCAAAAATCTGTGAACGTCATCTTACATTGAAAATCTCGTAAGTTCATTTTGATTTATGGCGTTTTCAGGTTTCATTGGAGCATTGAAAAAGTGAAGTATTTATCCATGTATCGGCTGTCAAATGTTGGGAATTTGTTAGGAAGAGAGTGAATCAAGAGATCAGTAAGCAGCATAAGTTGGGAACTTGTTTGATGTTTTAGATGAATGAGCTGAATGAGAAAACCAAATCGGAAGGAAGGTACAATTGAATGCTTTTCACATTTGCTTCAGTTTTTCTGCTAGAAGCTCTCATTTTGATTGTGATTTCATTTGGAAAATTTGTTTTGATGGGTAGTTCCTACAAAGGACCAGGCAGTTACATTCTACAATTGGATGTAAAAAAACTATGGCAGACAAGTACACCCTACATATATATAACTGAGACATATGAGAAATACAATCATACCTCTCTTCCCCATTATGTTTTATCTTCATACACAATTGATAGGATTCACAAGAGTAGCAGACTATATATGGAACACCGCTTATAGTACTAATTAATGATAGATACTTTAATTTATATGTTTCATACATTCAAAGGCATATATAAAAACACTAAATAATTTCTTATTTAATTATCAGCCTCTAACATTTTCTTTTATTGATTAATTTCTTTTATTACTTTTGTTTTTTATTTGCAGATGAAATACCATTCATTTTCCTCTTTGGTTACGAATTACAATCAAGATAGAAGTGACAACATGAAATGAAGAGATGGAGCTTAGATGAGTATTAGAGGAAGATTTTAGGATACCTTTGTCTTAATTATATATATTAACATTGTGAACCTTTGACTGTTTGGAATTGTTAGTATCATATATTTTGTTTTTAATCTTAACATATGACTTTTACTTAATATTGCTCTAGTACTTTCAAATTTTATATTAGTTATTATTTTTCACATCACATATATCATTAAATATAAATACAATGCAAATAATAATAATAATAATAATAATAATAATAATGATAATAATAATAATAATAATAATAATAATAATAATAGTAATAACAATAAAAATGGTTTCAGCAAATTGGATTTGCGGCAATTTAGTTCTCACTAGCAATTGCTTTGCCACAATAAAGTGATAATTGTAGCAATTAAAATTTGCTACTCGACACAAACTTTTGTGGCAAGGTATAATTTGTAGCATCATAAATTTGCTACTAAATATGTTTTTTGTGGCAAATTATAATTTGTGGCAACTAAAATGTGCCACTGAAAATGAGCTTTTGTGGAAAATTATTATTAGTGGCAAATCATAATTTGCCACAAAATCTATGGTTTTTGTGGCAAATTTATATTTGCCACAAATACCTTTTGTAACGGGGTATCTGTGGCAACCTTGTGGCAAATTCTAAAATTGTCACAAATAGTTATTGTAGCTAAATTTTAATGTTTTGTGGCAAAATTTGGTGCCACAAAAAGTCAAGTTTTTTGTAGTGTAAGGAGGAGAGTGATAAAATTTTCTTGAGTCAGTGGAGGGATCAAATTTGGGAGAAACCTTAGAGGAGGAGCTCATTGACAAGCTGATACGAGATTAATTATCATTATTATTATTATTATTACTATTATTAATGGTTAGTGGTTATTATTATTATATTAGGTAGTATTATTATTTATGGTTAGTTAATTATATTATTATTAGAAAGTAATATTCTATTGTTAGGATATTTGTTACCATTTATAATTAGGATTCCTAGATTATTTAATTTCCTTCTATGGTAAGGATTCTTTAGATGTCTTACCTATAAATGTATCCATTTCAATGAATTATTAATCAATGAATAAAGAAAATACTTTCTTCTAAACCTTAATCTCTCTCTTTCTCGCCTCTTTTGTTCTTGGAGCTCGAAATCCTTCCCTATCCCGATACGATACCGTATCAATTGGTGCTTTCATTCTTGAACTCACCCAAAAAATACAAAAAAAAGAAAATCCACAGCACACGCAATGGATTCTCTGTTGGACAAAGTTCTTGGTTTACTCGAGAAAGTTCTACGGGGACAAATTGAATTTTATGAAGGCGTGGGTGCAGTTGAAGATTCCGTGGATGAAATTATAAAGAAACTTCAGGCATTCCGTCCAATTGAAGGTCAACCAAAATTTGATTCCGAGGTATATGCGTTCTCCGTAGAGGCCTTTTGCTCAATACAAGATTTAGTTCGTGGTCCCCCAATTCTACCAAGTTTGATCCCGATAGACTTATACATCTTCAGAAAAAACATGATGAACGCTATAAGGGGACTCATCGGTGCTCCTCTTTTTCCACCAAATTTAGCCACTAAGGCTGGAGACATGATTGTTCAGTTGGTGGAAAACACAGCCGCACACACAGGTCCTCTTGTGGAAAATTTAAGCGATGAACCACATGTCGAAGATGACAAGAAAAGTGGGTCCAATATCATGAATACCAATAAGTCACTCACGATGGAGGGGGAAATTGTTGTTCATCCGGTAGGTATTTCCAATGATGCTTTTGTTATTGTTTATGATCCTGTTCCTACAGACGATGTTCATGAGGATGCACACCATCAAGGCCGCGAGGAAGTTTTTGGGGACATTCTAATTGTTTATGGATGCACAGAAAGCTTTGGAATTCTTGATGTTGAGGTTATTGTTATCTGTAAATCAAGAAGTATTGCACCCGGTTGCATTCTTTTCATCGAGTTGGTCGCATGCAATTATTTAACTAGTGTTGGAGATGTTGTAGGTCCAACACGTTCTTTTGATGCTCCAATAACGAAGGTGTTTGACCCCGGAGGATGGATGATGAATGACACACTTTTTCCCTGTTCTTTGTTGAATTTCCAACTTGAGGACAAGTTGGTTTTTGAGGCGGGGAGAGTGATACGGGATTTATTATTATTATTATTATTATTATTATTACTATTATTAATGGTTAGTGGTTATTATTATTATATTAGGTAGTATTATTATTTATGGTTAGTTAATTATATTATTATTAGAAAGCAATATTCTATTGTCAGGATATTTGTTACCATTTATAATTAGGATTCCTAGATTATTTAGTTTCCTTCTATGGTAAGGATTCTTTAGATGTCTTACCTATAAATGTATCCATTTCAATGAATTATTAATCAATGAATAAAGAAAATACTTTCTTCTAAACCTTAATCTCTCTCTTTCTCGCCTCTTTTGTTCTTGGAGCTCGAAGGTGCTCGAAATCCTTCCCTATCCCGATACGATACCGTATCACAAGCTTTAGATTTCATTTCATAAAGCTCTTCCCAAGCTATGCATGGATAACAAGGGTGGCTTGGGCGTAGATTCATCACTAGCCTTGGAGAGGCTAGAGTTAGTTTTAGCTCCAACCTTCGGTTTGCACTTTCCTACTTTTACCTCCAAGTACAAGCCTAGCAACACTTACATTGATATGAATCCACATTGGTTAGGGTTTCCATTTGAGCTGGGAGAATACTTTCTTCCTCTTGGCTCAATGGTTCGTGAGAGGATTTGTGCTTTAACATTTGATCGATCATATACCCTCCCGAATACCACTCCCTCTCACACTTCATTTTCAAAATTAAAGGGGTGTTTCTTGAGAAGCATTTGAAGTTTTTTTTTTGCTTCTCAACAACATCAAATGCTTTAAAGGTGTTTTTCTTGGTAAGCCCCTAAATGAATTTCTTTTAAAAAAATAAAATCCTCAAGCTAATGACGTTAAAAGAAGCGCTTCTTGGGAGGCAATCCAAGTTTTACTTACTTTTATTTACCTTTTTATTTTAACAATGAGCTCCCTAACTTTCTACTTTGAGCTTCTCTTTGTAGATTTTCAATGTTGGATCTAGGTGCGCTTAATAAAGGGAAGTTGGGACAATTTGACCATGAGGGTCATCTTTGAAGAGAATTTTTGCAAATGAGGCACAAGGGGTTGATGAATTACACTCTTGAACTTCATGCATGGATCATGGCAACAACACAAACTTTCCACTCGTTCTCATATGCTTACGTAATATTTCCTCCACCCCAAAAAATATTGATTATATTATAATATGAATTATCATTAGAATTTTCAAACGCTATTATAAAGTCAAATCAAAATTATTGATTTGAATTTTAAATCAAATCATAATTAATCAGATCAAACTAGATCAGATCAGATCCAATCAGATCAGATCTAATCAGATCAGATCAAATCAGATCAGATCCAATTAGATCAGATCAGATCTAATCAGATTAGATTAGATCAGACCAGATCAAATCAGATCAGAACTTATTAAAATCAGATCAGAAAAAATAAGTTGAACGGAACTGAGAGATTCATTACACACCAATCCAGTCTCGCAAAGTCAAAAAGAGAAAAAGTCAGGAACCCGAAATATACCCGAATAACCTAATTGCTTCAGAAGCTTGTCTAGGACGCATTCAACCCTCTCTATTGTCTCGTTCTTCTGCATTTGGGTATTTGGCGCCTCGGACGATTTTCAATTCTGACGAATCCACCATTTCCAAATCACATTGCGACTGCGAAAGAAACCCACCGTTCTTGCGACTTCGAGCAAGAATGGAGCAGCAGCACAGGAACCAGCAGAAAGATGTGCAAGAACGACGACAAGATGATCTTGAGGAAATCCAACACGGCCCTTTCCCGGTGGAGCAACTCCAGGTTTACGCCATTCTCTCACTCTTCTTCCCTCTTCGAAATTAAAAAAGATAAAATTCTTGTTTCGAATTTTCAAGATTCTTATATTTCTTGGGCCTGGTTCAATTGGGTATGCGGCACCTTTCTTTCTTCTTCTGAATTTGGCAATTTCTAGGTTTCCGCCCAATTTCCAGTAATGGGTACCTTGCTTCAAACCTATTATATCTTTTGAGATGGCGAAATTCATGGTTTCCAGTTTTAGGGTTTTGGTTATTTTGCTCGCCTTTTGAAAGTGAGTTTCAGATCATGTTTTCATTTCTAGGAATCTGGAATAGCAGCCCTTGACATTAAGAAACTTAAGGATTCTGGTCTATATACTGTGGAATCCGTCATGTACGCTCCTAGAAAGGATCTTGTGCAAATAAAAGGGATCAGTGAAGCTAAAGTTGACAAAATTATAGAAGCAGGTTTGTCCTTTTCAGTTCTGACCACGTCCTGTTTCACTCCCTGCTGCAACTATGCATATCAGTAGACTAATCTTACTAACACCAACCAACAGCTTCAAAATTGGTGCCCTTGGGGTTCACTAGTGCAAGCCAACTCCATGCGCAGAGGCTTGAAATCATTCAAATAACATCTGGATCAAAAGAACTTGACAAGGTCTTGGAAGGTAGGGTTTAATTTCTGGACGGCTTATTGCAATTTAAAGATTGATGGGTTTGTTATGTTACATACAAGCTCTGATTATTGGGACTGGCAGGGGGTATTGAAACTGGATCTATAACTGAAATTTATGGCGAGTTCCGCTCTGGGAAGACTCAGCTTTGCCATACATTATGTGTTGCTTGCCAAGTAAGATTGAGTGTCTAATTAAATTTTTAATAAATGCAGGAACTATGAAAATCTTGATTAGTTGCTGTCAAAATCAAACATGCATTGTTTTCAAACAATGTTGATTTGTCATTATCATCCAGCCCCTTTAATCCTTGGGGTTGGGGTGGCATGAGTTTCATATTGTCATTTAATTGTCTAAAATTATTTAGCACTAAAACTAAATTCATGCGAATGTCATTTTTCTCTTTCTATTGTTCAGCTTCCATTAGATCAAGGGGGTGGTGAAGGGAAGGCCATGTATATTGATGCCGAGGGAACTTTC